TCAGCCCATGAGCGCTATTCGAGCGTTCTTGTCGACCCTCAAACTCAGTTAACTATTGCGATGGTTGGAAAGCAAGGGAGCCGCTTCAATGCATCTGGCTCCTCATTGGCTTCAACGAAGCAGTCTCCTCCACATTTGCTCGGAAATGCAAAGGCCCCCATCCATAGGAGCTATTCCGGGTTGCCAAAAAGCTTTTGTGGCTTCGAAGCAGTAAGGCACTTGAGTGGATTGGCCAAGAAAGTCCCAAGTTTCTGTTATGGACACTAAACTAGCCTGGCCAAAAAGCATGAAGTCTAGGAACTCAGGGAGTTGGAACCCCCCCTTCCCCCTTCCGGGTCCTAGCACCTGCTGGGTCAGAAACTCCGAGAGCACTGGAAGCTCCTGCCTCAGCACGCTGGGTGTGACAGGCGTCTTCAGCAGCTGAACATACGTCATCCGTTTCGCACCACTTGGAAACCATGGGGAAACCATTGTTATTGTTGGTTGGCATTTGTAGGGGGGTCATCATGGGTCATCATTCCAGGGGTTCTCAGGCGGTGCATAATTTCGTCCATCCACAGTTTTAACTGTAATGGAAGCGTCAGTAGAATGCAGGGCACGTTTAAACCAATTTGAGTGATGCTTGTAGCGGCTTTTAGCATCTTGTTGGCCCCTTATATGTCCAATCTCCTTGTTGCCCTCTTGGAACAATGCAAACAACAGAATTTCATGCATCATGCGCCGTGCTGCTTAATTACTTCAGGGCAGCTAAGGAACAAGGCCCAGCCGGAGGCATGATGTCCGCCCTTGGGAACACTTGGCATTGTTGGTTTCCAGAACCTTGCCTCGACCCTCAAAAGATTGAGCGGCTCTAGTTCATTCAGCCCGCAGGAAGAACGCTCGAATTGCCAGAAAGGCGCGGAACGTCTGAGTCTAAAAACGATAAGCCCCCACCAGGCATTCCCTGGCAACGTAGTCTCTTGAAGGGCTGGTCGGCAGGAAATGGAGACCCGGAAAAAATAGGCCTCCCAAAGTCACAAACATCCACTAAGCTCCGCAAGCTAAGGAACATTAGATCTTTTGGACCCCATTTGTCCAATCAAAAAAGCACTCAACATAACAAAGACCCAAATGGATGGCTTCCCTTTGTACCTTGGATGTCCCTGCCATACTAGGAAGGTAAGGAAACAAAAACGGACCCCCCCAAAAGGTTTTTACACCACATGATACCGTACACCAAAAATACGATTGTTTTATGAGTCTGGTTGGTTTACTTAAAAAAAGGGAAACAAAAAGAAAAAAAACGCGGAATCCGCCGTCCAAGGGGCGCACTGCCACAAAAGGGCAGCGCCACATGCAGGCACCCCGCAGCATCCAGCGGCAGACCGGACAAGGCACCCAGCGACTCCAAGAGGCCCAACATGCCTTGGCACCTTAGCCGACGGACGGTCCCTCGAGTTCCTTCCAATTCCTGGGACCTTTTTGGCGAGCAAAAGTTGTTGGACTCCTGAGGGGCATAGCTACATTGTGGCTTTAAACATCTGGTCGACATTCACCCCGAAACCCAAGTTTTGGGCCAAGATGAGTTGCCCTTGGTGGCTGGTGGGCCAAATCCACAGAGCACCAGCCGGCAATTGGTTTATTCCAGTGATAGGGTTTCATCCATCCACTCTGCGGGATTTTGTCCATCCGCAGCATGTCGCAAATGAACAAAAAGCAAACACGTCGAAGCAAAGAGCCAGGTACAGGCATCAAGATCAAAGGTCAAGTAGGGTTTCAGAAACAATTGCAAAAGGTGAACCGGTTACACTAGCTCGAGAGTGCTCCTATCGAATTCCACTTGAAGGGATCCCTCGAGGGAGAGTAGATGAATCCTTTTAGGTCCTCGGGTTTCCCTCGACCTCTGGCGCGATCCAATGAGGCTTGGAATCCATATCCCAGCCGCGAAGGTGTTCAACCTCCAAGGATACAGTTGAGCTCAGAAAGTCACCAGGGCCACAGTCCAAGTGGTGGCTGTGATGCGTTGAAACTCTTACAACAAAAACGTGTCTACGGGAGGAAACGTATATGTTCAAATAACCCCTTGTCGAACGCGAATTATCTCAAAGAGGTGTTCCAGAGCGGATATCTGGCACTGGAAGCGCACAAAGCGGAGATTCATCTTCTTGAGACATCCAGGGGCATCTGGCAATTACTCTCATTCCAGGCGCAAAGGTGCCCACACAAGATGTTATAAGCATGTGTGCCAAAACCAGATGGACAGAATTGAAGGTGAAGTTGTCTAGCCACTGGGCTGTCCGTTCCTGTGGGGGCTTTGACCAGGCAAGCAGACATGTTCCAAGTTTCAACTTTGCTTTTTGCCACCTGGCCCTGGTCCAAGCCGTTTGTTTCAGAGTCCGACCCCTGCAAAAACTGAACATGAAGGAAAACCAACAAGGCGCAAAGATAGAGAGACCAGCAAAGCCTGGCGATGATCGACGGCCCAGTTTCTGCGGGGCAGTGAGTCTAAGTTCCAGGCGGACGCCTCAATGATGCCTTGCAAGGCGGGAAGAAGTCCATTGGGGACTCGAAGTCTCCTCCTCGCACATGGATCCGAGGACGGAAGGGTGGGGCTGCTGTAGGGAATGGTTGGGAGGTTCGTTCCCAGATCTTCTAAGAATAAGCAAGAAGAGGGAAGGATTCATGGAGACTTGGGGTCACTGATAAATTAGGGCTCCCATTGGACACTAGATACCACTATAACAAGTATCCAGCCAACTGAGACCTGCCTGTGCATAACACAAACGCGCAAATGCATTGGCTCGGGTTGTTGTCAACATGGCCATGTTACTTTGGCTTGCTGAAAGCGTGGCTGGCTCCCTACTGAGTCGAGTTTGCAACCTTTCGGCCGAGGCTGATGTCACCGGAGAAATCTAACTGTTCTGATAAGCAAGCGGGCTGTCCCACAAAAAAGTGTAGCGCAATGGGACGCATGAATCAACTATTGGTTTTACTAATCTTGTGTGGCCAACTTGCAGCCCTCTGCAAAAAGTAGATCCCCTTTGACATGATCATTGGAGGGCAAGCACAGGGCACCCTTCTGACCGACAGCGAGCCGAAACAAACGAAGAGAAACCACGGAAAGCGCGACGGTAGGAAATTAAAGTCATGTGCAGTCTTAGCAACCTCCATCCAAGCAGCCACACTTGGGCATCACTCAGTGGCCCAAGGACCCAGAAACAAAAAGCTTAACCTCGTGGGCGACGACTGAATGTAGACCAGCATGGGAAACAAAAAGGTCAAAAGCTCGGCTTTGGACTGAGATGACCAGTCAGTACTACTCAAAACTCGAACATGAGCCCAACGCAGCCAGCCCACGGCATGTCTCACTCCTGGTCCATAACGTACCTCATGCTCCTCCCCATCCATCACAAATCCTCGTGCCGACGTATGCCACGATGGGTCGTGCGGGGTTTTCCCGAGGGGCTTCTCTGTTCTCCATGGCGCTTGAGGCAGTCTTTCACAAGAGGACCCACAAAATACGAAACTGGACGGGGAAACCTAGCCCGGCGTGCAAGTGGAATTCTAGCAGTTTCGAGCCCCCAGCCAACGGCAAAAGGGGAGAACCACCATGGAACAATGGGGTGTTGCTTGTGTTGGCCAATTCAAACGTGCACCCAGGAACGGTCTGCGTATTTAAGCCGCTGAACAGATGTTAGCCCACCGCTTGCCCTCCTGATGTACAAAAAAAGCACTTTGGCGCCACTGTGAAGTCTCAATACGTCCTTTATTGCAACGTGCAGGGCTGATTGCCCAAGGTCGTTCCCAGGATTGAAGCTGACTGGAAGTTGGATCCAGCACAAATCGAAAAAAATGCAGGGCCTCCCTACGTGCGATACTCGCTGATGCATTCCGCAGCGATGTCCGACAAGATGCTGGCCGTCACTGCTTGCGGAGGGCAGCCGTACGCCATGGCCCAAGGCGTCGGCCGGGCTGAGCTGAGTGCGAGGCTTCGGTGTGCCAAGGCTTGCGAAGCAAAGCAAACAAAACCAACGTGGCTCTTACACACAGGCACCCCCAGAATCGAAATGATTGATCGCTAGTCATTGCAACTCAGGCTATCATCTTTTGCCCGCTTCCTCACAGCCGTGGATGCCCTGCAAGCCATGTGGCCAATCTGGCGCAAGTCGCGCGTACAAGCTTCTTGAACAGGGTCCATGCTGATCAGCCATCCATTGCCCCACAGAAAGCTGAAGACTTCGAGGCTAACTTCGAGGGGGACAGACAGTTCAATCTGAAGGTCCGATTTTGAGCCTCGAGCTTTCCAAACGGAGTCAGGCACACCACACAAACACCACTCATCGGAAGCGGCATCATGAGCCCTTGGCGCCAGTATGACTTGTGCACATGGGTCTTGGCAGCTTTCATAGCCTGAGCCTCAAAACTAGTTCTTTCAGCAAATCAACAAACTCGGCCATATAGCGATGGTGTCATTTACTCGGGCAAGTCAGAAAGCGGCTACCCACCTGGGTAACAACAGGGTAAACTCCACTTGCGGGCCTTATAAGTGACCAACAACTTACTAACTTGGCCGAACACCCAAGGAAGTTCGTCTAAACCGTATGGGAAGCTAAAAATAGTTGGAATTGTAGCGAGTCCCCTAGTTGCTGTGAAAACTTCGTCCCAGGCCGCCCCCAAAGGAACCAGTAAGCTGAAGCATTTAGCCGAACCGCAAACGTACCCCATTCTTGTTAGGGTATACCCTCGGGCTGGTCTGGAGTCTAAAGAGAAGCCAAAAGAAAAAGGACCATTTGTGGTGTCGCCTGGTTGACACATATGGCTGGAACCAACTGGCCAGCCTCATCTCCCCCGGTGTCTTCTGGCGGAGATGGGTCGGGCAACGGCATGCCTGGCTCGCACAGCGCTTGTATTTTGTTCGGGGGGAACCACCTGTTGGTTTTCAGGTGAAAATGAAGCTCCCCCCCTTCAATGTAGGGCTACGCTCCGCGTGCGCCCTCGGAAGTTAATCGCGGCGGGGCCGCGGCGCAGTTGCAAGGGCTTCAGCAACTTGGGGCGGATCCAAAAGACCTCGGCGCTGGGCGCTAGCATCCACCCGTGGATTTCCTTGCCAATTTTGGTAGACTTGAAAGGGACCCCCCTTCCAAAAAAGGGCCACTGGGTGTCTCTGTAGGGAATGCGGCCCTAAATGAGGGCACAATGATATTTTTCCCAACATAATGGCTTCTTTGGAATGACCCTTCACCAACCAGTAGTGGTGTCTTGCATGGAACTGAATCATTCCCATATTCCCCACAGATTCAAACGCCTGGCCTAAAACTCAGGTCCTCAAGATCTGAAGAAGCAGGGGTTGGGCAACCGAAATGCCGCCAAGGAATGAAGCATCAAATTTGGCAAAAGCTACACCACCGCCGGAGGATCCCTATTGTCCGAGCAGTGTACGTACACCAGTTAGCGGGAAAGCATGGGGGAAAACTGCTAGTGATATATTTGGAAGAGTTCGATCCAAGTGGACATCACTCACATCCCTGGCCAGGGCATAATTCCAGACAAGCCCTGGTGTTCATAATTTTGGGCCTTCCATGGCAGGAGGCAGCGGGGGCCCCCACCTGTCCATCATGCAGCTCCACCTTCCAGCGGTGGCTGTCCGCGCCGTAGGCCTGCAACACCCCCTGCCTCAGCGACTGGGCGGGCGAGTCTCGCTGAAACCCAGCGGGGACAAGAGGCAAACCAATGAAACCCGTTTTGTGTAATGGGGAAAGGGCGGGGCATGGTTGAGGAAAATGGTAGATGCAACAATCCTTCCAACAGCCACGCCACATTTGGAGGCATGTTTGACGTACTTGCCTGAGCCGACCTTACCTGCACCTGTTAATCAAGGGCTGCATTACCTTGACATAGCATGGCCATAACCTGCTTGGATGCTCGGCTTAGTTAGCAAGTGGTTCGCGTCGGTTTTAAAAGGGTTACCTCCACTTAGGAGGGGAACTTGCAAATGGAGTATCACCTAGATTACCCACAACTCACTAACTGCAATTCCATCACTGGCTGGTGCTTTGAAGTCTTTCCCATGCTATGGCTGATTGAAAGACGCATTCATGGCGCTTGGCCGCGGCCCCCGGCGCGCCATTGGTGCCTGGCCAGTTGGCAAGCAAATTCATGAAAACCTATGCTGCGGTGGAATCCCACAAAACTACAGATGGACCAACTCCTACGAGTTGCTGGGCGGGTTGGCCCAGTCCTCATGGGCTTCATCCATCCTATCTGGTGATTGCAAGCCCCTACCAATAAAAAAGAAAAACGAAAGAACAGCTTCCAGGCGGGTTTGAACCTTTTGACCAATCTTCTCGGCACAGCACCAACCTAATCAGGTGGGGATGTTCATTGGCTGTTGCGTAGGTAGCCCGCCATTCCACCACACAGACGACGCTGGCGGAAATCCACCAGCGGGTTGCTCTTCTACACAGCCGGGAATCGACGGCGCCTTTGTTCTTCACGAGGCCCTCCAGCCGCACCTGGTCATGGACCTTAGCCGCCAGCTGGATGCCTTGCCCGGACCTGTGAATGTCCAGCAATAAAACACCTTTGCGCCCGTTCTTTTTCAAGGGAATTCGGAGGCCCCTGCCCGAAAAGGAAGGCAGGGCACTGTCAGTCTGTGCTTGGTGAAGAACCGTTTCGAAAAAGAGATGTCTGTCTGGCTCTTCAATGTTTGTTTTGTGCCTAGCTAAGACCTCTTTGGTCCAAGAGCAGGCCCCGCCACCCAAATGGGCGGTTACCATTTGGTTTCCCTTGAAATAGCCCAAAAGGGATGGGAAAGGCTTGAAGGCCTGGGCCCAAAGAGTTCAAATGGATTCTAACAAGCTCCGGATGGACGCTACACGCCTTGTCCCGTTGTGCTTTTGGAAGACATTGCCAGGCCGGCCTGCCCCCAAACTTCATCCATCCTGTTGAGGGATCTACTTGACCAGACTTAGACCCCCTGCAAGAAGCTAAGTTTTTGCCCGCATCACCATGGTTCGTTACAGAGCTGATGGAACGACTACAAACCCTGAGCGAGTGGTTGTGCAAATGAGACTGCGATGCCCAACTGCGGTAAACTTGAGGGGCAAATGGTGAAACAAATGTGGATGGGACACAAGGCAAGCAGAAGCCAGAGGTGTCCCAAATATACATGCACAATACCCCGCACGGGGGGGCCAAAGAAGCTGATCGCACACCGCTGGAAATATCAGGACCACGCATGGACCCATCCACCGATCTGAGTTTGAACGCGGCGGGGCGACACAGTTGGTAAGGGGCCGGTTCTGCTAGCCTTTGCAGCAGGGAGGCCAAGAGCAGCAATGGCTCAAACGTTTCTTGGAGGAAAAAAATGGTGAAGGAAACAAAGTGAGACAGGTCAGCTAAGTCTGGCACAGTCTACCCTCCACCAACCAACTCGTTTATCCTCCATTTGCCTAAGCCCCCTGGAAAAACGTAGCTCCAGTAAGTGATTGATTCCCTTAAAAGAAAACCAACATCGCAAAATACAAAACATATTGAAGAATGTTCTTCAGCAAATGGAAGCTGTCTCTCCTCGTACCTAGGTCCACCGGGCTGCCGGACGTGCAAGATGGGCTCTCCCGAGTTGAAGGCCTCGGCCTCTGCTGCGGACATCTCAGCGCGGCCATCCTGCGGTGACCAAAGTGCCGGCCCCTGGAAGCAGGGGATCTCTGATATACGCATACATATACTGATAAACACAAATAATATAACAAATATAACACACAGAGACATCGATAAATACAAAAGGGGCAAAAAGCAGTTACAGCTGGCCTGACATAGGCCCGTTGAAGGGGTGCAAAGGGGCAACAGGTTAGTCAGGTGTATGCCTCATTGTGTCAGTTAGCCACCTGCTGAGTCATTGTAGATGGGGTGTGGTTGTGAGGCTCGCCTACTTTAAACGCACCTGAATGAGCCCATAGAGCAATGAAACTTCAAACGGTGTGCCTTCAAACTCACGCAACTTGGAAAGCTAATGACTTTTTGTGGACCAACCAGGAGAGTGGGAAAGGCAAACAGTTCGAAGGGAGCTCCTTCCATCCGACCGGTTGAACCCCGTCCGGACCTCGCTCACCAGCCAACTGTCCAAGCGGCGAACTGCCACTTTGGCTGCCTTCGGTCAGCGGGCGGCTCGGCTCCGACCCGTTTTTGGGTTGGCATTCTTTAGCGGGGGAGTGGCCAAACGAAACAAAGAAAAGGGTGTTACCGAACAACGGGATATCAATGAACATGATTACGTGCCCCTGATGTACGCGCCCCAAATGTACTGTACGTGCTCCTTTTTACGCCTATCATCAGAAAAAGATAAGGCCCCTCAGATTACGTAGAATATGGGTTGGTTGGGGAATGTTTCGGGTGCTATTCCTGAATATGTTGATTGTGGCTTTGCCTAGGATCAAGTTCCCCATGCATGGGGATAAATAAAGACTGGGGATAGTCTAAAGGGCAAGCGGGTACTTCCAACCTCGAGCCATC